GTTGCTATTCCGCTGTTTATCTCTGGTCTGTGTGCAGGTGGACTCTGTCTCTTCCTCCCCTTTCTCTCATGCATGTATGGGCGTGTGTGAGTGTGAGTGGCAATCGAATTGTCAAACAACCAAGTTCATAACAAAAGACTGACAAGCATAAAACTGATTGTGTGTGTGTGTGTGTGTGTGTGTGTGTGTGTGTGTGTTTCAAATTTTCACCACAACAGCCCTTGTTTCACCCAGATGAACAGATAAAAAATCAAAGCATATTTAATCCTAGGGTTAAGTACGTTTATGTCACCTTTGAGTATCGAATGGGCAAAAAAAACACACATCGGCAAAGAGAACCGCACTGAGTTCGAAAAGTCAATGGAAGTACCGATGGCCGTGGTGTCAGACCGGGTGTCATATTTACAGGGGTCGGCCATGGTGCCAGAGGGGGAAAAAAAATAGAAAAAATGCCCAACGGATACTTTTGGACCGAAATAGCTCATTTCGAGTTGGCGCGTGGTTTCTTTGCCGGCGCGTGTTTTTTTTGCCTTTAGGGTTTCAAAACATGCCACGTCCGCCGTTATTTCTTAATCTTATTACAGACAACGAAAGCCCCATGGGGGGTTCATACAACCCAACAATGAAACAGTTTCATCTCAATAGCAAGCAACATAAAGTACAATAGCTGCATGTGAACCCCTTTCTTGGATGTGTTCACATTTGCTTTCCCTTTCATTTGTTCTTGCAGCTCCCCCTTTACCGTGCCTCTCATGCACAAGGCTCGATTGTGGTTGAGCGTGAGCTGCCCACATCCCTGTGTGCCATAACAGCCCACTTTCACACTATGAAAGGAGGCAGAGCAAAGGCAGAGGTATATTCCTGTTCATTTCTTCTCAGGTCTTCAACTTATATTTTGTCTGTTCTCGTAATGATGCTCATTTGTATGTATTACTAGTAATGCACAAGAGGGAGGAAGGAAATTGGGTGTGGGTACAGTGTTGGTGTGACCAGAGAGCGTCGACATTGGCACTCGAGTTCATTGTATTGCTCTTATTTGGATGGTATCTTGGCGCATTGTGCTCTCTGCTTGGTACATGACTATCTGGACTACTTCCTGAGTTTGGAACTTGGTTTCTGTCTATCGCTCTCGCTCATATTCCTCGTATAAATGAATAAATAAAATAAATCCTCCCCTTGGGAAGTAATCAATGCCATCTGTGGGATGTATAATATGGTTGAGCTTTCAGGGAAGCTGTCTGAAGCCAGTGTTGGCCTTGGTTCTCCCAGCCCTAATGGGGAGAGGAGTGAGTGTGCTCCTGTATCTTGATTTCCCTCCTGCTGCTGGTGGTGAACTGGCCTGCTGCTCCTCAGAGTTGGAGGACTATGACGTTCCCTCCCCCCAAGAAAAAAGGAAAAAAGGCTGTTGAGTGTTCTTACCTTCATCAGGATCACCAGGGCCGAAAAGTCAGTCAGCAAGGATGTTCCAATTGCAAGTGTGTGTGTGGCTGCCTCCACAAGAAGCCGGAGTGCTCGAACTGCCAAGATTGCCACCAAGACAGTCTTCTTGATGCTGACCCACAAAAGAGAAACGGACAGGGAGAAGAAAAGACCGACAGACAGATAGGCATCTTAAGAATGCAGACACACAGAGCTGAAAGGTAGATGGATACACTGGCAAGAGAAGACAGGAAGACAGAGAGACACACAGATGCACAGACAGACACACACACACACACACACACACAC